GACCTCTACAATATATGTCAAGCCCAAGGTTATTGGAGGTGGGTGTCCTAATCTAAATAAATAATTACTATTCTTTATAACATATTCTATATTAGACACATACATTACTTTAATATGTAACAGATAACACACACGCAAACACACATTTTTAACGTGTTGCCTTCGCTGAAGCAACTATGTTCATATGTCATCTGTTAGAACCTAACAATAGGAATATAAAATGTTTATAAAAGTGTTTCTCTTACGCAGTAACGAATACATGATTATTGTGGTTGATTACATTCTGTCCGACATAGTTGGCTATAAACATGTATAAGATGCTTATAAAAGCATACGTAAATGATGTTACTACATCCTCGAGATTATTATCAGATGATGCTATTTGGGAAAGCTGAGACATTTCATGGAAATTATCAGATTCATGGATATATATATATATATATATATATATATATATATACAGTAATATTACAGTATTACAGTAAATATTATGTAATAAAAATAATAAAAGATAGTAAATATTAAATTATGAGAAATATACGAATATTTTTTGTTCATGTTACTAACTGAATATATAAATAAATTATTCAAGTAATATAATTATTAATATTTTATTATATAAATATGAGAGTTGTTTCCAGATTATATAGATTTACAACAATCCTTAACAAGGTTGACAACAAAAATACACAAATTACAAGATAATATATAACACTATTATGATTCATAAGAGCGTAAATGTTTGGCTATTTTTGTGTTCTTTTTTCTTCACGCATCTACAGATACATACATATACATATGGCATTTGTCATTTATGTGTTTAGGATAAACCTTTTTACTGAGGCATTGATTCGTCAATTATCTATTATATTTATAGAATTATTATAAATATATAATTTTGACACAACTCTCTCGTTCATTATTACATAAACAGTCAACTTACTTGAAACAAATTGAGGCTAAAGCAAGCTACTACACATGCAGTAATAAAACATACCGAGATTTCAATTGTGGCCAGTAAATGTTTGGATAATCTTCAAAAACAAAAAGCTATTACTACTGTATTGGACGAATATTGTTGAAGTAAATACAAACTTCATAGCTTGACGATGCATGTCCACGGCACAAATTATACCTTTAGTCATCAAAATTTTATTTTTAAACGTAATATTTTGTAGAATATCGATATTTATTGCGTGCTCGATACGATAGCTATAAATGGTTGTTTTAATTACACAGCAACTCAGAGTACAAGTTTTTTGCTACAAACATAGCACCACATAACACTACTTCTTTTTACATGAATATAACACATTTCATAAAAGTATCAAATTTTATATAATAGTTTCAATTATTGTGCACACATTCCTATGTTCGCATTCGTACCTAGCAATTCTTAACATTCCACAGATATGCTCAATAAATGTGATGAGCATTGTACCTACGGCCACCATTGTAATATCCCCGACACAAAAGACTGTGTTACTGTGCAGCAAAATCAAATAAAAATACTTTTCCTGATCAACAAAATATTCCATGATAAATATATAATACGGTTCGGATGCATTCATTCGTAAATCAACATTAGCTATATTTAACCAAATTTGAAATATAACGAGACTAGACATTCCGCCTATTCCAACTCCTGAAAGTAGTAAAAATTATTGTTATTCAAATTTTTTTATCTATAAAAACGTTTTACTATTTATGTATGCCATACGAATATAACATACAATAATTTTTAATTCTAATAAGATCAAATTTTACTACAAAGTATATAGTTATTTTTCTACTTTATTCGGTTATTAAATACATTTGCTATTTAAATTATTGTAAATGCAGGTACGTAACAAGCTGTAACGAACCGACAAAAAATACATACGTACGAAATTTAAAATGTGCTAAAATTATTTTTTCATTGGACAGATTATTGTTACATAAATTGAAAATATGATTGTACTAAAAAATTACTAAATATTCTCTTACCCGTAAGCACAATTGTGTAACGTTTCGCAATATAACCACACTTCTCTACAATAGCAATTTCATTTTCGTCCTTTAATTTATTATGTGTATGTTGAAACTCCATTAGTAAGTTCTTGACCTGTCAGTTTATCAATTTTCTGTACTGTCATCGAATACACGGAAAAACAATATTTATATAAAAATTTATTTGACCGACAGGTTAATCCTGTGTGACGAATACTGTGTAAAATCAACTTACAACTTCGATATTAAAACAGAAATTGTGATACTGTATTATGAACATTACAACGAAAAATACGGAAGACAGCACCTTGATAACAAGATCCGAAGTACGTGTTATTAATGGTGTTATCTACTAATGAAAATAGTTTTGTATTTTATATATAAACATAATCAATAGTAATAATGCCATGTATTTGATACAAAACATAAATTACATAATTGTCATTGTAAGATTAGCATAAATTAATTTATTCTATAATAATGATGCTATACTCTGTAGCTTTACCTGAAATATAATACCCGTTGACAAAATTGTATAGAAGACAACAAATTGAAATCGAGCAAATTTAGATTGTTGGTAAGGCCATAAGCCGATACTAAGCAACAGAATTTTATTAAGAGTGCAATATTGAACTAGACGTGTCATGTCTCTGTAAGCTCTAAAATGTTACTGTAAATTTAGAAAACAAATGCATGCAGCTCGTCGGTTTTCAATGGTGAATTAAATACGCTATATCCTTGTTTCCTACATGTGAACACAAATTCCAATTTGCATTTATAGTACAAATAATAGTCTAAAAATTGGTTATAAGAACAATTGCGGTAGTTTCGACCAATTTTTCATTAAAAATGTATGTGATCGACTTAAGGATAAACGCCATCGGAGAGATGCATATTTATCATGAAATTAAGCTACTTGCGGAAAACTACGCAGGCGCACTTCCTTTTTACTGCGCTAAAACTTCAGTCTATTGTACGCACTAATATGAAATAGTTGGTTCCCGAGAGGGATGTCTTTTAACTTTTATTTATTCGACACCAAACCTATTGCAAACGTGCGTTTTCCTCCTAATTTTATTTTATTTGTGCAATAGAGTTTGTAGGTAATCGATCTGTTGGCAAAAATATTAGGTGTGCAAACGTGCGTTTGACTCCTCATTTAATTTTGTATGCAATAGAGCTTATAGGCAATCGATTTGTAGGCAATAATATTATGTGTGCAATGCTGTCTGTGCGCAAAACTATCGTGTGTGCAAACGTACGTTCGTCTCTTCATTTCTTATTTGTTAGCAATAGAGCTCGTAGGCAACCGGTCTGTTGGCAATAATTTTTGTGCGCAAACGGAATGTCGGCAAACATGATGTCGGCAAATGATACTGTTGGCAAACGATTTGTAGGCTAACGGGGCCCTCCCAATAATTTTATTAAATAAATATATGTTTTAATCTTTAATTAGCAATGTGTACAAATTATTTTCAACCAATTTTAAACACAAATGTGTTAACTACTTGTCCATAATTATATCACATTTCCTACTGGCAATATTTTTTCCTTATTCCTTATTACTTTTTAATTTTTCAACACAAATGTGTGAGTTATTAACAGAAATATATAATTATACGCTTAAACATTTACATAAATATTAGTACAAAATAAATTAAGTAAGGATAATGCTATGCGTTAGCAAAAATAAATTGCGTGGAAAAAATTTTACATAAAGGTAATAGAAAATATTTAACCATGCACTATATCTATGTATACATATAAACCCGAGTCGAGTATTTGGTTCCGGAATGGGTCTCAATTATTAATCTATTCTGTCTTCATTTGGACCTCGGCGTCAATTTAAAACTCCAATTTGAGGCCCACATGAGTAAAATAATTTTGTTTAATCTCTTCCTAACCCTTAAAGAAAATGTAATAAAATATTTCACTCTCTTTGAAATTTGAAACCTCTTAGGCCGTAGAGGATCTACTTAACCTCAGTTGATTACACTCGCATGGGCCTCTTCACTGCCAAAAGGGAAATAACGAGTACTTTCTAGCCTAATCGAGGTCAAAAATTCAATATATTGCTACGCCTCCCGCGCCGCAGCAGCGCACTAGCCCCGCTCACACACACAGGCACAATCCGTATCATACGCGCACTGCCCCGTTGAAAGAAAGCACAAGGAATTCTGAGTGAAACGATATTCTTTACTATACAGAACAGCGACCGCTTAGCTCGAAAGCCAAACTTTTTAATTCCAAAACAACAGTCTGTTAAATCAATAGCAGTTGAAATCAGTATTATAACAATCCGCCACGATACTGGGCGTTGTATCTGAACACAGCGTAACAGACGTAACAATATTTTCTTAGACACGAAAAGATATTAGTTCGATCTCACTGCTACCAATTCAAAAATTATACGTAGCTAAACTGAAGCTAAAATATTCGACTCGGGAGCACTAGTTAGTATAATAGTCGATTTCAATACATTGGAAAAACCATAAGTATTGACATTTTAATAAAAATATTAAAGTATTAAAAATATATTAATTTACATTATATGTTCAAAGAATATATCTATTTATTTTTCTAAGCCTAAATACATTCGTTTATTTAACTATGTCCTCACCATGTTATTAAATTCGTATGTATTTCACGACCGCGTAGAAGATATGACAGTAAAATAAGATACCGAAGTCTTCACTAGCTGCAGTTATAAATATACTTTATGTTGTATCAATATATGTATATTAAAATATTTTAGAAATTATTACCATGGCGAAATTTTCTATAGATCCGTCCAATAATCCATAGACATTTAAAGTAAATTCTTTGGATCCTCTTTGCAATAAGAACAGTATCATTTTTTGTATGTGTAACGGAGTTCTATACCACTGAACGTTGTATCTACAAGTGAAATATATGTTGATAGTGGATCGTAAACTTGAAATAAGAACTTTTCATTAATTTCTTTTAACATATACTCAGATAACACACACGCAAACACACATTTTTTCACATGTTGCATTCGCTGAAACAACATATGTTCGTATGTCATCTGTTAGAACCATAGAGATATAAGAATGGAGTGCGTGAGTGAGCTAAAAAACGATATAGTAATAATCAGAGAAAGTTGCAAAAAGGCCTTCTGTCTTTGCCAATCCTTGCGCATGTGCAGACATAAGAAGACTTATCTCTGCACCAAGGTGCATGCGCGACTGATTGTGAAAAGGATAAAAAAAGTCTACATGCAGCGCTTCTTTTCCGTACCTATATCGCAGCCGGTTATGCCTTAGCATATGATTCGCGCACCCTATTCTTGTATCTCTATAGTTAGAATCTAACAATAAGAATATAAAATGTTTATTTGACTGTTTCTCTTACGCAGTAACGAATACATTATTATTGTGATTGATTATGCTTTGTCCGATATAGTTGGCTATAAACATGTACACCATGCTTACAAAAGCATACATAAATGATGCTAAAACTTCCTTGAAATTATTTTTAGATGATGCTATTTGGAAAAGCTAAGACATTTCAGGGAAATTATCAGTTTTATGGATATACGAGGTCTGTAAATTAAGTAATGAGACTGGCCGCCGCGCGGCGCTCCAGTCGCTAGCAGCGCGCCCCCTGGAGGAGGGATTTGTAGTGGGGGGTCTAAGCTAAACAACGCACCGGGCGGCAGTCGCGTCCGAGCTCAGACGCAGTGAGAATTACGTGTGGCGCAAAAGCTGTTTTGAGTTCTTGTCACGGCAGAAAACGTCAAAAATGGAGCGTTCGTTGGAGCGGCGCTACGCGATTAAATTTTGCTTTCACCTGGGCAAAACCGCTTTCGAGACGCTTACCTTGGTTAAGGAGGTTTACAAAGACGACGCCCTGTCAAGGTCTCAGGTTTTCCGGTGGTTCAGTGAGTTCAAGAACGGACGGGAGACCGTTGAAGACATGGAGCGATCTGGACGCCCTTCAACGAGTGGTTTTAATCTTGGGCGATTAATCTTACACTCAAACGACGGTCGGAGTCCAGGAGAATTTTTACTTTGGCCACATTTTCGTCCAAACCATTCGTTGAAGGGCGTCCAGATCGGGCGTATCCCGTTTGGACACGTAACGATTGGACACCGCTCGATTGGACACGCACTATTGGACACACATTATTGGACACCGAAATCATTGGACACCGCATTATTGGACACAAGCATTATTGGACACCGCATTATCGGACACAAGCATTATTGGACACCGCATTATTGGACACCGCATTATTGGACACAAGCATTGCAAGAATATTGTGCTTTACAGAAATACGCAAACCCGATACAAAATGTGTCCGATCGGGCCTGTGTCCGATCAA